CATTAATCTGGAAGTCAGCAACAATTAATGTAATACCCAAGAAACCATCCTGCCTTCACCTACCCCATAACTATAGACCCACCAGTCTCACTAATACCCTCGGCAAACTAATTGAAAAAATAATTTCCACCAGGCTACTACATTTCTATGAGTCAAACAACATATCAAATAACACTCAGAACGCCAGTCGCAAACAGAAACAAACCACTGATAATTTAGATCAGCATACCAAGACTTCAACAAAACACACACCACAATAGCCGCGTTTCTAGACGTAAAACAAGCTTTTGATACCGTCTGGCATAAAGCCATCAGATTCAAACTATGTTCAAACAACACTCTCTCAATCATCACTAGATGGATATCCAGTTTCATCTCCAATCGAACAGCGACGGTAAAAATTAATAACACTATCTCGCACTCCTTTCCGCTAAATGCTGGAGTCCCGCAAGGCTTTGTTCTAAGTCCCCTCCTGTACATAATCTTTGTTAATGACATTCCGTTCCCGACCTTCCTTCCATACACACTTACATCACAGTTCGCCGACGACATCGTAGTCTGGAGCACTTCCCGTGATCCAAGACTAGCCGCTCCTCGCGTACAGAATACCCTGGAAACAATCATAACATGGTGCAACCAATGGAGGGTTACCCTCAACCCAAGCCATAGCACTCCACAGACAAACATTTCAAAAAGTTACAACAGGTTAATCTATACCTATACAACACCCCTATTCCGCTCTCCTCTTCAGCTAAGTTCCTCGGCATAACACTTGACAAGAGACTTCGCTAGACAGACACTCCATATTAATAACACTTTACTAGCAGTCAGTAAAAGAATAACTTACCATCACCGTATTGGAGGTACCAATAAAGGATGCAACAGTCACTCTATCGTAACCATCTATACATCATACATCCGCTCACTATACGCATGCGCTATCACATGTAACATCTCAGACAACACATACAAAAGAGTACAAATGCAACAAAACAATCACAATTGCTCACCGCCTACCCAATTATACACCACGAAAATACATAGATAAAATAACTGACGTCACCTCTATTAAACAACGATTTTATGAACTTTAAAACAGCCATGACACGTAATAAACTCACCGAAAAGTTCCATCATCTTTCGACAACACCTATTTCGTGGCAAAAACACACATCCCCCAGAAACCTCATTCTCAAACATATAACCAAAATTAAACACGACCCCCAGTATAGCATGTTCATGACTAACCTAGCAATTCTTTTCAGCCAACCAGGATGGGCACTGGTCAAGTAAACTATTCGGCGCTTGACCGTAAAAGTGGGTTTTCTCCCACATCAAAAGTTTAAAGGCTTGGGATAAACCATCCAGCCACCCCGAGAAGAGCCGTTCTATCGAAATTTATTACTATCATAACTATAAGCTAAATCCGAATTTAAAACTTCTACCATTCATTAATTTTAAGGTTTCAGACAGGTTTGTATCAATCCCACATTAGCAGGTAACACGTCACTCTGCATCTCCCTGCTCGTGTCTTCGTCTCTCAGTCACTCAACAGTTCACTCTCTCTCCGTACAATGGCATACCAGGTGCATCAACAAACAGACATGCGTTCCACCTGCTTCGAACAACGCGTTTCAACACGAGCATGCAAGTTCCTCTTCCTTCGACTCTCTTCACAGCTTTTCCACGTGCCATCAGAAGCAATATATATAACCTCATGAAACACCTCTATCAGTAAATCCAATACTCTCGTTAACACTCAATCTATGCGTGTGGGGCTGAAGAGAAACCCCTGGTTTCTGAGCGCCCCTGGTTGTCGCTTGTGAGATACCAAACCAAAATAACTGTAGCCAGTTATCGAGAGAATTATTTTTCTATTTGATGCCACCAAGTCGTATTTTTTCTCCTTTGACCATCCACCTACAATTGTAAAAATATTTTTGGTAAATGATCTCGGTGAAGTCTATCCTCCAAGAAAGCAGTGCTAAAGTTAAGACTAAAAAAAAACAAACAAACTTGCTGAAATTTGTGTTGTACGAGTGCCGTCCACATAACCTTAAAATAACACAACGTTTTAGATTTGTTTTAAGTGAAAGAAAACACTAGAATTCTATAACAAGGTAATTAAATATTTAAAGTGAGGAAGAAAAGGACTTGTGTCAGTGTAACGCGCTGATCGAATCACCAAAATGAGTTAGCATGCTACAGACATTGCAATATTTACAAGATCGCCCAAGTGGTCGAATACAAGTTTGTATTGATGAATTTTTAAAAACGTAGTTACATTAATAAATAATACAATGAAATATAATTGGATTTCGTTTAATGTGTATTAGGTTATGATGATTCTATGAGATTAAAAACTCGTTAACTCCCACCAGCAGCTTTTTTGGAATGAAATTTTAATGTTGATAAATTAACGAAATAAATAGTTTTAAATCTTTAACCAGCAATTATTATCAGCTTCACCATCATATTATAACGCCTCCACGGTGTAAGGGCTAGCATGTTCGATGACGGGAACGAACCAACAGATTGAGAGTTAAACGCCCCAACTAACAGGCCACCCAATTTATGCTACATTGTTGTACTCTGGCCTATTTCGACTTTAAGTTTGGTGTGAAGATATTATGTATCCCATTCTTTTTTAAAATTTACATGTACAGTAACACAATTTTTAAATTTATAGCCCAGAACCAGATAAATCATATCTAAATCATGTGCTAATTTAGCCCTAGCAATAATAAATTATTGTCTCTACAGAATTAATTGGCCTAAACTATTCGCCATCTTACCGTACATGGTCACGAACACGTGTTCTTGAAAGCGGGTGCCTCACTTTCAGATTCTTATAACTAACAGCCTAAATCACAACTTGATATTAATCATAATATGAATTTAAAAACTTAGCCACTGGAAACCAAAAATCATGAACTATTCACCGAGGGAAGTATTTTAATCAACAACAACAAAAAAAAACCGCTCTTAACAACAATCTGATCTTACCTACTAGTTCTGCCAACTTAATTTCAATCAACCAACTCGTTTTTCATAACTTTAATATTTTAAATCGTATTTTGTCAACTTGTTATTGTGCTAGTAGAAAAATAATTGTGTGTATATATCCTTAATCTTTTTATTATGTAGCATACACTGAAGACGAATTAAGTGCCATCTGAAACGGTTGTGTAAATAAATTATGCATTGCTTCAGTCGTCTTTATTTTTATTTTGTGATACTACATTTCCCTATCAACGAATCGATTGGCCAAGGATGTTATCTGCTGTTTTATGGGATAATCGTACTGTATTCAATATCACTGCGGGTGTGAAGTTCTTGTACAACTGTCATTTAAAGCAGTAATACCACTTGCAGTTCAACATGTCATTGGCCAGCTATAAAGACAAGATAAACTATGAGAGAGGTTTGACACTTAGAAAAAATTAGCTTCTTTAAGAAAGTCAAGACCTGCTGTATTGTTTTTGTCTTCATCTTCTGTTTACTTATCAGATGTATGTTGTACCATATTTGCCTTAATTTCAGTTGGCCTCTCAGGTTTTAGTTTCATTTGCATTATATTTATCAATTTAATTTTGCCTTCACAATGTAATGAGCATGACAGGTCAAATAAATACTATTTACTTGTGTTTGCCAAGTTATCTGTTTCTCCTCTTCATCACTTGTTCTCACATCAACATTTCCATCCTTCACAGCCTTGTAGAACTTATTATACAAGAAAGAATTGTAGAACACAGAATACCACATGTCAGGGGTTCCCAAACTTTATAGAATCGCGACCCACTATTCATGACCACAGCTTATGGTGACCCACTCAAATTTACTGGGCAAAAAACATATCAAAGAATATAAAAAATATTATTCATATTCATGTATTTCAATTACATTTAAAAATAATCACGTATTTTCAATAACATTTCCAGAACTTATAAATGCTATCTAATTGATTATTAATGAGGCGTGTGTGAAGGATGTGCTTGTTTCTTCAATGCCATTCTTGACAGTAACCCATCAACTTCAATGTGGGTTAGTTTCAGGCGTAAGGAATTTGACAATTGAAGTTTATTTCGGAATTTGTTTTTGATTCCTACCATTACTGAAAATCCAACTTCACAATGATATGAAGATGAGAAAAGGAGAAGTACCTTCAAAGCTTCACTGGAAAGGATTGGGTACGGTCTTCGAACAGACACCCAGA